TTTTCTTGTGTAAATAAAACCTATGTAGACAAGAATAGAGGAATGCAGAAAATTAGAGGAAATAATTTCATAGACAATCTCTCAGATAGGATGTGACTAGGTTGGAATACTGCTGTGGTAGGAAGTGATGAGCTGGTTGATTTAGAAAAACATGGAAAGACTTGGGACCTATGAAGGAAGATGCTATCCACCCTCAGAGAAACAGATGGCAACAAGTGGAAATAAGTATAGTACAGTACAGTCTTACAAATATGTGTATGAATATAACGTGTATATACTTACATGTTTATAGAGCTCTACATTGACACAAAAAATTATCCCTACACTTAATTGTAGCCTTCTTTAGGGTGGTTGTGGCGGGGGGGAATAAAGTAAAAAGTGCATAGCACAGAACAAAAGAAAACCAACAAGGAAACAAAGAAAAGCTGGCAGCTTTGAGAAGGATTTTATTATATAGGTTTTCTTGAAATGGAAATTTATTGCTTGATATTGAATCTTCTCATGTTCCCCTCATTTTGTATTCAAGTTTAAAATAAAAAAGTTTATATTAAAAAAAAAACCCTCTAAACATTGTAATTATAATGACCATGCTCGGCCCTGAAGAAGAATTGAGAAAAATCAGCTTCCTCCCTTCATGGCAGAGGCAGGGGATTTGGTGTGGAATATTTGTCAGACACAATTGACATGGTTTTGTGAACTGCTTTTTCTTTTGCTTCAGAAATGAATGATGTAAAAATAGAATACTCTTTTAAAATACCTGGGGCTCTGAGAAGCTAAGTGAATTGCTTATGGGCACAGAGTCAGTACTTGAATCTGGAACTCCGAACCACATACTACATCATGCTGCCAGCTAAAAACAGCAACAATAATCAATAGTTCCCTATCTTATTCATTGTTCAGTATTATTCAGTTGCCAGAAGTAGGAGTATTAGGGTATTTCAGACGATTCTGGCACCACAGATGATGCTAGAAATTATTGCCCCTCTGAGCCTCAGTTCAATTCCAATACACTGAGAACTCTAGAAAAGAGCCATTCTTACCCATATTACAACTTATATAAATGATTTTCTTCCCCTACAGCTTGCTAGAGATAATTCAGGCATCAACAGGAATGTTACAGAATGAATTTTCATTAGGAAATCTTGGTCCAAGAACATAACTTCAGTTCTTTTGTTCTATGTCCAGGTCCCACAAATGACAAGTTAAGCTTTTTACCTAACACCCTTGTTATTTCTGGGTATTCACGTACATTGAGCATGACTGTTGTCACTAAAGGAACTTCACAGAGAAATGAGATGAGCCAATCTGACTGAAAGTATTAGGCACTTTTATTTGGCGCACTTAAGGGATGGCCAGGGAACTTAACTGGTGACGCCCAACTCAGTATAGGGAGCATGTGTGTGTATGGCTATAGAGTAGTGGGGCAGCCCAATTACCATACATGCCAGGATCCTCCAAAGCAAAATAGGAAAAGTCATGGAAAGGATATAACCAAGAATGTAACTAGGATGTTTCCAACAAGATAGTAGTATTCAAGTCAAGGGATGAGGAAAAAGAGTCCACACAATGGTGCATTTAGATTGCTCCCAGGATTTGGCATGTGGTTATACAAAGCTCTTGCTGGTAACTTCTAGACTCATCTCCCCTCCATGCTTCAGGGGCTTCAGGTTAGCACAGGGGTTTAGTGTTGGGGTACTGTTCAGGAAAGTCTGGTTTCTTGCCTTTAAGAATACAGGTAAGAAGGCATCAATAATCCAGGAAACTGGAAGTTCCTGTATTGTAAATTTCCTGGTATAGAACATCCGGATTGGGTGATGGTGGGGAGAGAAGTAGAGCAACAGGATAGGCAGGAGGGATCACGGCTACTCCACAGAACTTGTTGGATAAAAACTAGATCACCCAAACCAGTGTTTATCCCACCTAAGGAACAGAGCTAGTAGGAAAATATCAACCTTTCTCATTATTACTCTAGCTCTACCTTCATTTTGACTCCATAGCCAAGGACCCTGAAAGAATTAGGCTCTAAGAAATTTTAAAGGAACTGAAAATGGAAGCCAAACTTCATGTTGGTGATACACCTCGATATTAGATGCATTTCTCTAATCATGGAACTAGAAGAGTGGTTCTTAATCTAAGTACTAGGTACCAAGCAGGTCCATGAACTTGGATGGGAAAATATTATATCTTCATTTCAACATAATTGGCTTCCTTTGTAATGTTATATATTTTATTCCTCAAAAATATTGTTCTGTGAAGGGGTCCATAGATTAAACCAGACTCCCAAAGGGGTCCATGTCATTTAAAAAAAACAAACTACTAAGCTAGAAAAAGTTTTGTTGGGTAATAAAACAGTTATGTGGTCATACAAAAGAGAAACCTGCCTTCAAAAATACTTCAAAATGTTAGACAACCAACTCTACTTTAACATGACTGATCTCTAGATAAGTGTTCCAGGATACAAATAGATCCTTTCCCAATTTAAATAGGAGGGACAGGGATCTCCACTCTCAGTAATCATCCAACTTGCCTTTGTATGCTGATATATTAGCCCCACTGCAGACTCTATATAATGTCTCTTCAGACCTTGTCTGGGATTTTAAGAGTCCAGTTCAAAGGCTACTATTTTCAGCTGGCTTTCTGATTGTTCTGTCCTTTGTGGAAAAAAATTTACAAAGCTATTCATGAGCGAGGGAAAGACTGGATTGCTCTATCAAGGAAACTATCAATTTTTTAAATTGGCTAAAACAAGTGTTTCAAATCATGTGCATTTAAGTGATATACACAGATGGTAATTCATGAGACAAATTATCTTTTATTTCTAACTAACACACCAACAATAAGCTGAATAGTAATATTCTTAACATTTTATTTGTTTCTCTTTTCAATTCTCTCTGGTTTTATGGAAATGCCAGCTCTATCTATCTATCTACCTATATTATGCTGTATTTCATTAAAGTCAATTTTGCTGTATTGAGAACTACATTTAATACAGATTGAATCATTATAACAACTATTAAACTGTATTCTGGAAAAAATATTTTAGAGATATAAAATCTAGAATAAGCAAACAATGGTGTCCCAAAAATCTTAGCACGAGTTCAAACTATTAAAGCTTATTTAAAATTCAAAAAATCTGCATAAAATGTATAATTTTTCCAGCTCTAATAAGTTATAACATAAAACTGGTACTTTTTTTTAAAAATTGGCTTTAAATTAGCTTTAAAATGTACATTCTATCTGGAAGACCATATTTCAAATAATTACATTATAAGCATATAATCTAAATGTTTTGTCATGGCAATGACCATATTATTGTACTGTATGAGAAGCCTGCCTCATCAAAACCAAACACTGAGTCTTTAAGTCTTAATAACCAGAACAAATATCCCACTGTTTAAATTAATAAAGTAATCATTTCCTACGCTTATCAAAAGTTTTTTAAAAAATACTTAACAAGTACTCTCTATTGAGAAAAAAAGTTTCTTTGTCTCATTAAGGAAGAAAGCAAATGAGTTTTCTATTTTTTGCTAACTGGAGTCAACAGTTTTTGCTATAATTGGTTAAATGTTTCAAAATAGGGCATAGCTATTATTAAATTAATATGTAGAACAATTCTTGCTTAAATTTAAGAATACCACTTTATATTGTTATCATGTGTTGTAATTTTCTGTCAATGTATCTTCTCAGCCACCCAATAAAATCCACCATTAGACAAAGGTGAAGCAAAGCCCAAATGAAAAAACCCATCACTGACTGTGTCTGCATACACACCACATTCTGCATTGTAAATCTCCCACCTCTCTACAGAGAACAGAGAAACATGCGCTTCATTGTTTGTCCTGTAGAATAAAGATCCAGTGTATTTAACCAGAATTCAGCTACCTTACAGTGTTACTTTCAATTACATTATTGCAAGGCATTGTCTATACCATCCTCCTGCCTCTGATTACTGTGCATTAACTCAGCCAAATGTTTGCTTCTCTGAATTCTCCTTATTTGTCTTTTCTTACAGTACAAAAATACTCACAGACTACAATTTGTTCAGCAATTCCCTTGCAGGATCAGAGATTTAAAGCTGGAAGGACCTTAGAGGCAAACTCCATCGTTTCACAGATGAGGAAAACGAGGCTTGGAACACTTTGGGTGACTTGTCCATGATTATACAAACACTTATTGTCAGAGGCTGAATATGAACCTAGGTCCTCCTGACTCCAAAAGCAGCAAATTAAACATTATACGACGCTGCCAATCATTGGATACACACACACACACACACACACATTGCATCTAGCAGGTATGCATATGTGTGTATATATACATACACATTATAGATATATAAAAGTTACAATATATGTATATATGTACATATGTATTTATATTATAACTTGTTATTTAGCCAGAATATTCAATCAACCAATACATCCTATAAAGAGATCCCAAAATCATTGCACAGGTTTAAGCTTTAAAGCTTTACGGTGACCTTGTACACACTATTTGGCAAAGTAAAATAAAAAAAAAATTAGCCTATATATGGTTTCACGGTGAAGCACATTGTCTTCCACTCAGAGAAAGGTGTAAGTTTACTTATGAGAATGTTAAACATATAAAATGTCAAACCTATCTGTATAGAGTAGAAGCCACACCAAAAGAAACAGAAGTGATATGCCCATTATTGGGCAGTCCAAGATTTACAAAATCATTTTGAGGTTTTGGTGAAAGTGAGCATTACAAAACCCTGTAACAAATCAGGAATGCCACTGGTAGACGTCATAAAGTATAAAAAAACAGGTGGAATATGTGCGCAACCCTTTGTATCAGCAACAATCTATCTCAGCAGCTGGTTTCTGTAAAAACTAAAATCATTAAGCAAGACATTCCTGTGGCTTAACCTGTAACAAGAGGCTCAAACCTCTCCTATAAAATGATGGTAACTATACCCAACAGATGGCAAAAAGGTTTTAAATTATTGCATGAATGACACACAAAATCCTTCTCAGGAATCATGGAAAAGGCGCTTTATTCTTTCTTACTTTTATCTCAAAAATGACAGTTAATGCCCAAATAAAAAGCAGGTATTCAGCAATATCATTTGCTCATTACAGATTTTTTTTAAAAGTTCACACACTGCTATTTGATTTTTAATATTGATATCTGCATTTTTGGTAAGCATGATAAAGATCTGGGTAGTGAATATAATTATGCTCTCAGAAAAAACTTTTGCTCATGTTCCTACTGATGTGACTTTTAAGGATACCAATCCTCCCCAAGGAAGTCATGGTAACTTCCAAATACATTCTTAAAAAACAAACAAAAAAAAATCTTAGGAAATAATTCGGTCACAAATATTATCCATATTTTATAGATACAGAGATTTGGCATAGGCAAATTACATTAACTCAAGTCGCACAGCTCTATGGGAGATTATCCATTACCAGAATAGACTTTTTGATTCTGTTTGGCACCGTAGCTAGTTAATCAAAGCTTTAAAAAGAATAGAAAAGAAAAGAAAAATTACAGCAAAAAACACATTCAGAAGGAAAATAATAAGTTAAATTATACAAAAGCAAGACACCCTATACTAAGAGACATAGAGATTTTCATCCAATTACACTATAGCTCTAGTTACCACCTTTAGTAGGACAAGAAAGTATTATATGAACAGGGCTCTAGACTAAATGACTAAGCGTATACAGGATCAAATGTCAATTTAACATAAAGTCTACATAAAGAATGATCCAAACACTCAGGAATTTAAACAGGATGGATGTATCGTGCATATAATTCTAAATATTATTAATTTACAAACCATAATATGCAAATATGTATATGAAAAGTCAGAGAAGCCAAAACACAAAACAACTGAACATGCACTGACCTGTTACTTTTAAAATACTATGTAACTAGAAATATTTTAAAATGCTAATATTCTAATCATAAGGTGTCTTCTAGTATTGAATAAACTTGAAGAACTCAAGTAACCAGCCACTTATTAACTATTTTTCAACAAACAGTAGGTGCTTACCATGCTAAGAAATATTCCATTAATGATCAGTCAATCAACATTACCAGGAACAAAAAGTCACAAATGAACTTGCACATTTCCCATCTATTTTCCCCAAATTTAGGTTATCTAAAGAAACATTAACTAATAATTTGGCTTTTATTACTACTAGATGATCTTAGACAAGTCACCTAATCTCTCTGGGCTGCAGTTTCCTCAACTACAAAATGATGGAATTGAGTCGATGACTCCTAAGGTCCTGCTCAACTCAAAAGCCATGATATTAAAAAAAAAAAACCTGCTCGTCCAAAAGTTTAAAGCAATCAAAAGGCCACCAGATAAGACTTTTAAAGGAAAAAAGCTTCACAGAAATAACTTGTATTAGAACAAATGGGAGGGAGGGAGGAATGAACTTAAGAAAGAAAGAAGTTAAAAAGTTAGGAAATTATTAAGTTGGAATTTTTAAGCATCTACTATGTACCAGGCACTATGTACTAAGGTCTTTACAAATACCATTTCATTCATATAAGAAACCCAAAGTCATTAACATTGTGTCTATAGTATCTCTTGACTACAACAATTCTTTTCCTTAGTGCTCTACTCAGTATCCTAATGAGCCCCTATGTAAAATTACAAGATTCACAAAATAGGGCAGTATGCTACTTTTAGTGTTCAGAGTAACCTCAAACATTTGGCAGGGAGGAAAAAAAAAAACCCAACCAAACACACATCTAGGTTTTTTTTGGTCAGCAAGCAGAATGGGAACCAGCAGCGCTGACTTTTCAGTGATAATTTTTAGCTACTGTGACTTGGCTTTAAATGCTCCAATTTAAAAGGTAAAGGCAGGAAACTGAATCACCATAATGGGATGTCAAGGTTTCCATTTTCTAATGCATTTTGCCTTGATGCTGATTCACCGTGACAGAGGACGGCAACAAGACCTAAAGTGATCCATAGATAGTAAGTCTTAAATAAGAGCAGAAATCTCAGCTTAGAATAAACAGCCACTGTCTCCAAAAGCTCTTTATCTTAGGAGAAAAAAAGAGAGCAAACTGTAATGATAACTATAAAAATGTATCTTGTGCTAATACTGGTGCCCTTTCATCCAAAAAGCATCAAGAAAAAGCCTAGGTTCCATGTACTACATGATCCAGAAAGAATATCAAAAGTACAGAAGATAAAAGATTATCAAATTAATAACATGGTGAAATTTTGAAAATCCTTAAAGAATAAGGATTTGTTAAAAAAAAAATTAGGACAAAATAGGTTTTAAAGAAAAGTCAGCATAAACCAAAGCAACTGAGGATTAGAAACTTTTAAAAATAAAGAAAGCTTAAAAAGAAGACAAAAAGACTGAACAAAATGGCATTAGAGACTAAAAAAATATTTCAAAGCATATGATTTTGGGAGGATTGGGGGAAATGAGAATAAAGCAAAGAGGGAGTTACAGTATGTACGTTTCTAGAGTGCACAGTAAAAACAGAGCTTTCTGAAAATATTTATATAATAAAATTTCCCATCAATAAGAAGGTTTTCCATTAGGGGAAAGAAAACTGCTGCTGACTTATCCATTACAGTGTTTTGTTTATTTGGGGGAGAAAAGCTTAAACATAAAGCAAAAACCTAGAACAGAAAAATAAAAAAGACCACATAAAAACTTTCAACCACTTTCATGATTATTATCTAGGTTGCATATACTTAATGGCCTGTTGTAATCACACTACTACTTTTGTGATTAGTAATTTTAAGAGGAAAAAATCATTAAGAACAATTCTTAACAAAATATGAGGTCCCTTCCAGCTCTAAATCGATGGTCCTCTGATCTAAGTGTCACAAAGTAGAGTTATCCCTTTATCAAATGTACTTTACCCACTTTCTTGAAGTTTCTCTTTTCATCCAACTGATTTCAGACAAGAATTACTTTTTAAAGTGTTAAACTAGTATATAACCTAAACACCTTGTAAATAGGCAAATTTTCTAAGTGTATATCTATTCAGTCCTCAAATGACCATTTTTTCCCATGGCCAATTTTGTCATCTAACTAGCAAGATCGCCTTCAGTGTCTAGTCTTTTGTTTTTGCCCTGAGAAGAACTTAAAGCACTTTTTCAATTCACATTTATAAAGCTGACAGCAATTGGGGGGGGGGAACTTGTATCATTGTTAAAAGCTTTATTTTTGTGTGCATACAGTTCAAGGAAACAAATATCATCTAGAATACAATACAGCAATTCAGTACTGTTTAATGTGTACACTGGCTACAAAATACACATAAAGGGTCTGTTATACAGCTCGTGGTTTCTAAAAGTTGTGTTCATTTTTAAAATTCTGATACTATTACAATCATGAAGCTGGACCTAATTTAAGACTTAGGCTTTTCATTGAAGTAGCTAATCCAACAAGTCTCTCTAAGCCAACCTGAGGGGGATGCGTCCTTTCCCATTTTCTCCAAAGTAGTTCTGTTCAATTCTTCTACAGAAAGCAAGGAGGTTGCTGTAATTTTTCACCTTTTCAGAGAGTTCATCATTGGTCAACTGAGTGGTAAGGATTGTGAAGAGATGGCCAAACACCAGGGCATCAAGTTCAGTTGGCCTAAAAAAAAAAAAGGAAAAGTGTTGACAAAATGCAGCCTATCTTACTTCGCAACATCTGTCTTAACATATTTCCATTGGCTGTTTTAAATATCAAATTTAAACTACAACGTAAAGAAGTAAGAATATTTATTTTTCATATCCTAACATGTTACAAATGGCAGATTCATTTATTTAGCTTTGAAAAGTTTCTTACATAAAATTATCTACAAATTCAAAAATAGTCACAGAAAGGAGTAAGTAGGTCTTAAATTAAGTCACAACAAAATTGGATTGCATTTTATGTCGTTTTGCTTTGTAGCATATTTTAAAAAGATTAACCAGTTGTTTCATTTGTTTTGTGTACTATCCTGAAGTAAGAAAATACATTTAGGCTAAATGTTCATCAACAATTACATATATACATACATAAAATCTAGGTGTAATACATAACATTAAAAAAAAAAAAGCCCTGTATTACTCTGGCTGGCTCTATCACTTTTAAGGACTTTATTCCAACTTTCTTTCCTCAGCACTTTCAGTATCATTTCTTTTAGAGATATCTTCCTCACACTTAACATGTACATCTTCCTCAAATAGTTGTCCTTTCATTGTTTAATCAACTCGATAACCTAATATCAAAACGTCTTTCACTATTAGTTCAAACACCACCTCACCCCAAACATTTTCCCTCATTTTCTTGCTTGGTAATGAGTTTTCCCCTCAGACTTTATAAAGTACTTGGTTTTATAATTCTCTAATGCATTTATGTAGTATAGTATTGTATATTATAGCTATCAGCTGATGTCTTATTCTCCCCTCATAGAATATAAAATTCTTAGAGACTGTTCCTAATTTATTTTGTATGCTATATCCTTTGCATAACTGGTGTTTAATACAGAAGCTCCCGACTAATTCTGAATAGCAAAGAGATGTGTTGTCCCTCGTGTGCAAGGATGAACCTTGCTGAACCAACATCAGTAAGGTACAGACACCCATATATTCATACGTCTTCCCGATATTCCATCTGTGCCACCTTCATTTGGCAATGAAAAGAATCAAATATGTAGGCTTGCTTAAGAGGAAAGCTGGGACCATGAGGTATTTCCAAGTGGTCTCTTTAATTTAGTTAGGAAGCAAGCCCCGGTACATGGAAAACTGGTCTCAGAGCCAGGAAGACCTGGATCAAAGTCCTGCCTTTCACACACCCTGACTGTGCAACTTTGGGCAAATCATTTAATCTCAATGTTCTAGGCAATGCTCAAAGATACCAGTAGCAGAAAAGGCACATCGGTAGAGAGCGTTTCCTCACCTAGGAGTTCCCTACAACAATGAAATCAAAGGTCCAATTCCTGTCCTATCCTAATTAAGGCAATGATTTAAATCTGTGGGCTACAAAGAGAGACAGAAAGGTGAAGTGGCAACAAAGGATTAACTCCTGAAAAGAACCAAAACTACATGGGGAACAAAAGCATAGAAGAAAAGACTGGGAAAGTGGAGGGAAGTATCTCAAACACTGATTTTCCTATTTCCCCCAAATAGTACTATAGCATTTTGGTTTATAGATTCAAACCCAAGGGAAGCTGAACTCAACTTCCTGCAGCCCTTTTAGGAATGACCTCGAACACAGAGTACCCTATGAGATCAGTGAAGAATATGAATTGTTTTCAAATTAGAGAGATCTGGAAATGTATTTGAAATGCACAAAATATTATTTGCTGGAAAGATTTATCTATATAACCGCAAAGGTGCTGAGTTATGTATGAACATGACATACAAAAATTGATCTGATGCTACATATTTTGTGCAACTTTGTGGAAAGTTACTTTAGAACATTTACATAGGAAGAACAGAGCTTACTGAAACAAACTAAAGCCAACTTTATTCGCATTTGTATGCCATTATTGTGGATCACATCCTACCCCAAAACATCAAAGAAATTTCTGCAAGTATTTCATTTCAGAAAGTGCTCTATACACACAATGTACTCCAGTTTTCTTCTTTCATGAAATCTGCATTTCCAGGCAAATTTTGTCTTTCACCATTTAATCAACTCAATACACTGCTGTTGCCCTTTCTCATTATCTTCTATCTTTTCTACACCACACAAAGTTAAAGGAAAACACAAGAAAACTCTTCTGCTTGCCAAAGAACATTTGTTGACTAAAACTTGGATGCATAAAGCAATCACTTTCTAAGAATTTTTAAACCTTTCAAATATATCTCATTTATATTTAGAAAATTTACCAAAAAGATTTTGAAATGACACACAAACATATTTGTTCCAAGCTACCTTTCCAGCCTTATCTTTAAGTACTCATTTTCACATACCCTATCCACCGCTCCACCGACTATTAGCTATTTCCCAAATAAATTCTACAACATCCTTGCTTTCATGCTTTTGCACACATTCTCCAAGGATAGGATGCCTTATCTTCCCCATTTCTACTAGCTGAAATCTAACATCATTCAAAGCTGGGTTCAAACGCTATCTCTTCCATGATGTTTTTTTCTGATCACCCAAACACATGATCTCTCCAAACCCTGAATTCTCACAACACTTAATTTTTTATTTATATTACAGCTGTTGGTATGTATCTTATCTCTCCCTTATCTTATATCATCTGTTCTAATTGGCAGCTTTAAATACCAAAATTTAAAATACAATGTTAAAGGGTAGCCTCCTTTTAAAATTTCTCAAGTACAGTATTCAACTTTCTTCTCCCTTTCTTTTGGTCAAAATGTCTCTTTCCTGAACTTCCCTGATTCCCCTTTTTCCCCCTTATCCTAACAGTATATCTATTGTGTGGGTTTGCTTCACCAACACCTCATCACCATGCCCAAATGCTTAATTCCCAGTATCCTGATCCCACATAAGCCCTGAATATTTTCTTATACACTTTTACAATCCACTGGATGTTCTTTAGTATTGCTACACCTTCTATTGCTCCAGTATTTTACAACACAAGTTCTTCTGACTCACTAGGTCCTTTCCACAGCTGGTGTTCCCTGGGGTATGTCTGGTACACTGCATCCTTCCTTCCTCCTCAACAAAGGGTGCAAACCACTTGATAGCTTAGGAGCTACTTTTCATGAGTGGCTATGGCCAAAAAATGTCCTTACCCAGTGATCAAAAGAACTGCTGAAATTCATTCTTTCTCTTTTCTTTCCTTTACCATTGTTCTGCTTCCCTCTCCTCTCTTTCCTAGCTACTGCGGTAGCAAGACCTCCTTTAGCCATTTCTTTCCTTTTCTAAATTGGTTAAAGTTACTTGTTTAACACCTGTTTCAAAAGTCTTTCCGATAAAGGCTATAAAACTATTGGTTTCTTTGAGAAGAAAAAAAGTTAAGAGGGTAATTAGCTTTAACTGTTATTCCATAAGTACCCTATGGAATCAGGGAGAGATAATGTGAATTTAACTTTAATCCATGCAAAAGTAATAAAGAAAGAAGATGAAGGGAAACGTATTTCTTGTTAGAACTATCTTTCAAATTTTTTTTATTTACAGTTCCAAATTCTTTCCCTCCTTCCACTCCCTCCCCTACACATTTAGAAGGCAAGAAATGATATTCATTATGGGGGGCAGCTAGGTGGCGCAGTGGATAGAGCACCAGCCCTGGAGTCGGGAAGACTTAAGTTCAAATCTAGCCTTGGACGCTTGACCCTTACTAGCTGTGTCACCCTGGGTAAGTCACTTAACCCCATTGCCTAGCCAAAAAAAGAAAAAGAAAGAAAAATGATATTCATTATACATGTGAATTGATGCAAAACATTCAACAATAGCCACATTAAGAAAAATATACTTCAATCTCTATTCAGTGTCCATCAGTTTTCTCTCTAGAGACGGATAGCATTTTTCATCATGAGTCCTTTTGAAACTCTTATGGATCATTGAATTGATCAGGTTAGCTAAGTCTTTCATAGTTGATCATCACTACAATATTGCTGTTACCATATACAACATTCTCCTAGTTCTGCTCTCTTCACTTTGCATTAGTTCATATAAGTCTTCCTAGGTTTTTCTAAAACCATCCCTTTCATAATTTTTTTTTGAGGTAATTGGGGTTAAGTGACTTGCCCAGGGTCACACAGCTAGTGAGTGTCATGCGTCTGAGACTGGACTTGAACTCACATCCTCTGGACTCCAAGGCCAGAACTCTACCCACTGTGCCACCCAGCTGCCCCTATTTAATGCAGTTTTATAGCCCTTTGGGCACAGTTCCAAATTGTTCTCCAGAATGGCTAGCCCAGTTCACAACTCTACCAATAAGGCATTAGTGTCCCAATTTTCCCACATTCCCTCCAAGAGCCATCATTTTCTTTTTCTGTTATGTCAGCCAATCAGACAAGTGTGGGGTGTAACTTCACAGTTGTTTTAATTTGCATTTCTCTAATTATTAGTGATTTAAGCACTTTTTTTTCACATGACTATTGATAGCTTTGATTTGTTCTTCTGAAAACTGCTTGTTCATATCCTCTGACCATTTATCTATCAATTGGGGAATAACTCTTTATTGTTATAAATCTGGCTCAGTTTCCTATATATTTCACAAATGACGATTTTATCAGAAATACTCGCTGTAAAAACCCCCCGCTCCAGTGTCCTGCTTTCCTTCTAATTTTGGCTACATTGGTTTTGTTGCTTGAACTATCTTACCTGTTATTTTATGAAGAAACATTACAAAGAAAATTTATGAGGACTAAGGAGAGAAAGACAACATGAATGAGAGTGGGAAAGAAACTAATGAGATGCTTTTCCAGTTTTGGTTGGAAATAAACTGAAAAAGACAGAAAAACATGGAAATAGTTTCTTTCTTTCTGAAACTATTATAACTTGTACCTTGTGAAGAGACTTCATGAGCCTGAATGAACAAAATAGTACAGGCCTAGGATGTCAGAAGGAGTCACTTGTTGTTGTAATGGGGGACTGGGGTGACTCTAGCTGTGATCTCACAACTAATATATTGTAAATAACTACCTGTGTCTTTACTGTACATTCAGTAACCTTAGTGTTTATTTAATCATGAGATTAAGGGATTTAATACATAAAAAGATATGAATAAAAATACTGGGAAATAAGTTTTCTCTAGTTCATTACATAAAAAAATTTGACTGGTCGGGATGGGAGCTCTGAGCTTAACTGATTGAGAGATATGTTGAAATTTTGGCAATTATTGAGGAAACAGCTACACCTACTCCTCGATTATCCTAGCATTTGAGGTGATAAGATTAAATAAGGGAATGAAAGAGGTGATAAAAGATGATACAGAAGTGAAACTGGGTCAGCCCCAATAACCTTGCTTCATTGGCTTTTACTCAATACTCACAGTACTAACATGAGGGGAAAATTTATCTTCATTTTATGGAGGAAAAAAAGTAATACATAAAAATAGTCATCTACCTATGGTCCAAAGTCAATGGCAGAAGTAGGATTATAATTCAGAATACATGGACAACTCAAACTTGGCCTGGTAATCTAGCCACTAAACTATCATGTCTTCCACAACAGGAACTAATGCTTTAAGAGAAATTCTAGTTTAGTAAAGTGAAAAGATAAAACCACTTACTTTTTAATCAAGTTCATCTACACAGTATGATTATTAAGCAATTTAAATATGCTGTGTACAATTCTTACTTTCTTTACCAGATTTTAACCACAATTTATAATAGATGGCAAGAGGATATATGCTTGTCTAAACCTGGCCGAAAATAAAAATACTCTAGTGCTCCTGAGAGTAAATCACTTTCACATCAATCAAAAGTCCTTCAACTCTTTAAAAACAGGTCTTCCTTTTTTTATACCTGTTCTGAAGTCTGAATCCAAAGCTATCATTAAGAATTTAATTATAATTGTACCCCACTATGATGAAATAGATATTTTGATATTTCTCTTAAATCAACTGCCGACTGATCTCTGATCATCAACCTATTTGCCTTTGAGATCTAAGGATCAAACTGCTTGGGATGGTTCTCTATACCTCCCACCAGGATGCTGTGAATAACAAAAACAACCCTTCAGAGGAATGATGCACTTCAAACAGTAAAATACACCCCTTCTGGGTCTTTCAACTCTTTAAGAATTCCTAAATTAGTAAGAAAAGGAACTACAGAGTAGCAACATTTGGATACATTTCTTTTGTGTTGGGAACTAAGCTAATCGAAAGAAATGCATAGCAAAAATCAAAGAACAGTGATTTCTTCCCTAGAACCACATGCACAACTGTAGGTTGTACCTATCAGGCTTTCTTAATTTGAACTCTGTGACCTTTCTGCTTCAGGGATCAATAGGCCCTAAATTGCATTTTAATATTTCTAACATATATCTTGTTTTGCTTGTGCTTCAGGTTATATATTTTAAATATTTAAAAGCTGGCCACAAAGTCACATAGACTAATAGAGTCTCCCAAATAAATGTCTGATATATATATGAAAATGCAACTTACAAAAAATGTCATTAATAATCAAAGAGTAAAGCTGTGAAAAATAAGAGTAAGAAAATTCAGTGAATTAGAATTTTAAAACAAACCCCTGGGTTTATGAATACTAACTCAATTTAGACAAACTTGATCATAAAACCAGGTGGCGGAATTCTCCACGATATGACATATTTTAAAACTGTAATTCAGGAGGGGAAAAGAGAAAATTATATTCTATATCTATATTAGAAAGTGATTCTTTGAAAAAAAAGCATATATAAAAATCCTTTTACAGTAAAACATCAAATTTATAACATTTGTATTTGTAAGTCTGTAGTCCTTTATCCTCACTTCTTTGTTGTATACACACTTTCATTAACTTTAAAAAACTTTGATGGCAATAAATAATGTTGTTCCCAATTTAGATGAGAGAGAGAGAGAGAGAGAGAGAGAGAGAGAGAGAGAGAGAGAGAGTGTGTGTGTGTGTGTGTGTGTGTGTGTGTGTGTGTGTGTGTGTTTAGCCTTGCGTTACCTCACTATATAGAAAAGCATCATTGTGCTTTACCAGAAGGTGGGAGAAAAGCATATAGCAATTTCTTCTCAGAGGTACATTTTTTCAAGAAAGCTTATTTATTTCAGCTTTGCAATATATCTTACTCAGCTAACTGATCAAAGATATCTTTTATATCAAGGAAAAATGTTAACATGTTATATCAGAACATTTTAATTTTACTTATAATCAACAATTCTTTAAAAATTTCTAAGCTATGACATTTTTCATAGATATTGCATTTTCTATTATTTGTTGCCTAACAACATTGAAGCTGTTAAATTAAAGACAGCAAAGAGTTACATACCAGCAAAGAGTTACATATTCTGCTCATTCACAGAATCTCAATGTCAGAAAGGACCCCAGAGACCACCAAGTCCAACATGACTGACCAAGAATTCCCTCTACAATCTATCAAACAAACAGTCATTTTAGCCTTGGCTTGGAGACCTCTCTGGCGGGGCTGTTCCATTTTTGGATATCATTAATTGTTCAGAAGTTCTACTTCAAGTGACTGGCCCAAGGTCATACAAGCAATAAGCATCATATAAGGGATCTGATCTTCTATCCCCTTCCTCCCCAAGTATTTTCTTCTCCATGCTAAATGTCTCCAGTTCCTTCAACCAGTCTTCACTTGATACGATTTCAAGGCCTTTCATCATCCCAAATGCCCCACTCTAGGCTCTCTCCAAAGCATTTGTCGTTGCCACTACTGTTATTCCTTCTAGAAAAATTCACCTGAATACTTTAAACTCTGTACTAAACAAAAGTGCTACTGCATTATAATAAACTTCAAATTAATATATTTGTTGTATCCACCTATAATTGTCCTACATTTGTAGCTTATTTTTAAAGAAATTAGAGAATTTTATTCTATATGTACCAAACATATAGATGACATTATAACATTTCTATTAATCATGACAACTTTTTGCAACACACTACACTTTAAGCATAGTCACATGAAATAAAATTACTTACTGCTTATTGAAGAAATAAGGTTGTGTTCCTAGTCTTTGAGAAAGAGCTTGACAGCACTGGTCTACATCTTCTAAGACCTAGCATATTAAAATAAAAACAACCAGAAAAATAATGTTTTAATTACCAAAGCAATGACATGTTATCTGTAAAAATTCTTTCACATTACATTCTATAATGGAATTCTGAATGAGGAGCAACATAAATGTAAACATAAATAGAAAACATATATTTATAGGAAAATATTTTATGCACACATACATATATGTACATATCTATATATAAAATTTAAGCCAAACTATATTCTAAATCCTCCTATGGAATGGAGGTGATTCGAGTTTCTCAAAGGCTCTGTAAACTTTGGCTGGTCCAACCAAGCTGCAGAGACTTTTAAATATAGGTCAAGCATAGACCAAGACTACCCTGGCTAAGTCAGAAGAGGCTTATCTCCAAAGAGTTTGAAATCAGGATGTCAACCTTTTGGACAAATCAACTAAGTGAATCCAACTACTAAAGTATAGAGAAGTTATAATTTATGTCAGAGCGGGGGAGGCATCCACACTAATGAAATCACAGCTCTGTTAAGGCACTAAAGTCCAGTCCATCCATATCCCTAACAAAAAATAGTAGTTTAATAATATGGAGTGCCCTGAGAGAACAGCTGAGAAATGGCTGCCTTTAAATGCCATACACTGAAATCCAAAAATTTAGAAATATTATCTCCAGGTAAACGCTATTTTTTCCAAATACTTGCACATCAGATTAAGCAACAGGAGGAATATGTATTCACAGACCAATATACTCATATTACTCTGTGTACAATCTTGACACCTTTTCTCATATAACATTTATAGTATACCATCGGTTGAACATGTCTGAGTCATTTTCCCACTAATGTTTTGATAAATTTTCTTTGCTCCATTCTCACTCCTGTAACAAACAGCTATTTCTGATGCTGCTGGACAAGGTTAAAGGTAACCATGAGTAAGGACAAAGCTCATCTGCCAATACAAGGACTGAAAATATTATATTGTCTTGGAGTATTTAAAAAAACTACTAATTCTTCTGTCAATTAAGTCAAAGGGAAGGGGAAGATATGTTCAAAGTTGTATGACTAAATCAAAATACATACAGGGTGTCCCAAAAATCTTAGTGCAGATTTAAGTTATTAAAGGTTAACATCTAAGTGTCCCAAAATAGCTTAAAACTACACTAAGACTTTTGGGACACCCTGTATTAAGGAGTAAAGAAATACAAGAAATGATTTCTTGGTTTTACAATGTTTTAGTATTTTGAATACAAAAAAGAATCATGATGTCATTGAGGACTTTTTAAAATACATGAAAATTGTATATATTTACTGGACTGACCTGATCCAGAGTTTTGTTACCCCATCCAATGGCTTTCATCTTGCGTTTGACTTCCCATTGTTTTTGATAAGCCAAGATGTGGTTCAGAGGCCAGGGATAAGGAAATCCATATCGAGAGTGAGTGATCTAAGTCAGAAATAATTTTTAAAGGGAAATAACATTTTACTTCTAGAAATAAAAGCTTTTTTCAAAAAGAAAATTCTGGGAATACTGTGTATTTTGAAAGCTGATTCTATTTGTATATATTGAACATTTTGTTGGGCATGGGAAAACAACAAATACTGCCATGTTTCAAAAAAATTAAAATTTTAAACCATTCTCTTTAAAAATATATAAACTTCTATGTACTTTACAACTAGTTACATCAAACAATGACACATAGCTTCCTTAAAATGTATATGCAAGCAAAATTAAAGTAAGTGAAAAACTATATCACTAATGGTATAAGCCACAATGTTTCATTTATGAGCAGGGACTTGCAATTGTGAGCAAAAGTGTTTTCTCATTAAATTTTAATTAAGATAAATGTTGCAGAACCACTCACCTCCCCTACTGTAGCTTCATCACACCACTGAAGATACAACTAGGAACAAAAGAACATTCACTAAAACTTTGCAACACCAAAGAAAAAACTAAATGAATAAAATGATTTCTTACAATTTTACTTTTTATAAGCTACATCTGTGGGGCTTTTCCTCTGGGCTAACACTTCTAAATAGTCATTATATGACTACTGCATGATGGTGATACTTTATAAAAACTATTTCTTATTCACAAAGCATATCTCTAAGGAGTTAAAAGTGCTTCACAGATATTATTTACGAAAACCTCAAAGAATCTCTGTAAAACTGTAAGTAGATTTAACATAACAGAGAGGCTCAACATGGAAGGGGCTTCAGAGGTCACCTATTAAAACTCCCTCATCTTACTGATGAGAAGTTAAATAACATGCCCAAGGTGACACAGGTCAGAATTTGAACCCAACTCCTCTGACTATATCCAGTAATCTTTCAACAGTGCCATGCTGCCCTACACAAAAAAATTTTCATAGCAACTGTATTTGTAATAGCAAACTGAATAACCTTATTTCTTTAAAAATAGAGAAATTCAAATAAAGTCAAGCAGCAAGGTATTTGTGGAAGTGGAGAGAACTCAAGTGTCTTGCCTACAGACTGTACCCTAGAGTCTAATGTAGACCTCTAGATATCAACTGGCTAAAGTAGTGATAGAATACCATCCCTGTAGTCAGTAAAATCTGAATTCAAATCTGGATTCAGACACTTACTGTGTGACCCTGGAACCTCTGTTTGCCTCAGTTTCCTCATCTGTAAAATGGTGATAACAAGAGCACCTCTCTGCCATGGGTGGCATTAGGATAAAGTGACATCATATTTGTAAAGGACTGTATAAATGCCATTATTGTTATTATTGTTATAGCACACTTGCAAAAACACATTCATCTACTTTTTAAGGAAGGTTTCACAAAAGGAACTTAAAGACTTTTTATGAGCCAAACCCTTTGCAAATTTTATGGAGCTACATAAATGTGAGCCATTATTACTACTGCCATTAGTAGTAATAATAACAAGCTTACAAGCATTTTTAAATGACCTAATTTTTCAAAACCTGACCTGTTTTCATCACTTAATTTAAAATAAAACAAAATAGATATTACTTTTTTTAAACAGGAAAATAAGGATATTTTCAGTTACCTTCTTACACAAAACCATACAAAGTTATTACTTATTATACCTCTGCTGTCAACAGCATATTATTGACTAATTCCATGTAGGCTTTCATTTCTGCTTTTTGGACTTCATCCAACCCATCACTAAGAGAATGGCCCTAAAGGGAATTAAAAAAAATTTTTAAAGCATCCAGTTATTTTCCTACTTGCTTATATAGCACCATGTTTTAACATAGTTACAATTATAAAGTATATGAAATCTTTACTATGGATAAAACCTTATACTCACTGATGCACAACCATGCAGATTAGTTTCAGATATTTTCCTGTCATAGGAATCTATGTACCTTTTAACTGAATAACAAAGTCACTTAAATACTACAGTAGCTTACATTTGCCAAAATGTCAAAATCTATCCACAATGCAATTTTTGGTTATTCATTTACTTATACCCCTCCCCCCTCAACAAAACAAAACCATAATGGTTATTGAATCCTTAGATTAACACTTGGGAAACTTGCTAATAATACTCTTCATTATAGGCTACAATTCACTCTAAGTAGGTCTCGCTTGGCTTGCCATCCAAAGGGATTTAGCAAGTGAAATAAAGAAAGCAAACTTTGTTAAAAGGTGATTTCACCTATAAGGCAGCTCAGTTTATTTACAAATGGAAGTCAAAGCACTAAATATAAATACATACTGCTTAATGCACAAATGATGCTTTTACAAGGAGAAGAATGCAAGAAGCAAAGGCTTTTATTAGCTACAATTTTAAGGCTTAAGCATACAATGCATCTTTCCTAAAAGTACCATACCTGTTGCCAAGAAATAAAAGTATGATACAAAGATGTGTTACAGCCATATTCTTAATGGAATTGGGAACCAACCAACAGCAAACATGCATACAGCTTATACTCCAAATTGGGTAAATTAAAGTGAAATAACTAGGATAGATTAACCTTCCTAGTTAGCAAATTTGACATTTTGTAATATTTCAATACTTTTTATGACTGAAGCTCTTATAAGCTATGGTAAGTTAGAAAAATATTTACAAAACTACCATTTATTAATAATTTATAGTAGGAAAAAAATTAATATTTTAGAAAAATTTCCCCACCAGTTTATATTGACATTTCATAAACCTAGGTTAAAATCAATGTAAATGTTAAGACATGCTAAAGAATGATGAATGACTTATTTAACAGTAAGTGTGATCAAATGCATTTAATATCTTTTTTATTACCTTGGCTTTTACAAATTGGACTATTGGACCAAGTTCTGATACCACTTGATTTCCCACATGAATAAAAGGTACTTTACCTGTTCAGGAAAAAAAAGATTATTTTGGGGTAAATTAAAGTTTATATGAAAAAAATTAATGCATTAACATAAAATTTTGTTAAAATGGTGTATTCTGAATTCTATAAAAATTTATATTGATTTATCAATTTTTGATAAAGCCTATAGTTTTGAAAGAAAAAGAACAAATTGCCTGAGTCTGAAGTTTGACATCCACATTGTCTCCCAGTGCTGTTGGTAAGGATCAAAAGAAATACCACATGTAGAGTGCTTTGCAAGTCTTAAAACACTATGTAAATGTTAGTTGTTGTTGTTGTTATTGTAATCATCATCTTCTCTTCCTTTTCCTAGGCAATCTGGCAGATTATTATAATCCAAGAAATTGAGACTACTTCAAATCACTAGGGAAGGCATGTATTCAAAAATACTAGGCAAGCTCAAAAAGAAAAAAAGAAGAAGGAAAAAGATAATATACTGTATTGGCAATAAATCCTCTCAGAATACAGGCATGTTCTGATAGTATTCTTTATGATATGATTTAAAGGACATTTTAAAAACCTTCCATTTTAAAATTCCTACTGATTCTAAATCACTGAAACATGTACCAAGGATATTTAGAATCATTTATTTTTAATACTCTATTATTATGTCTCATAGTCACTTTTTCAAAGTCTATTAATCTGTGAATTGAATAATACAACATATTCTGCCAATGTGGGGGTGGGGTAGGGGGTGAGGGGAAGACAAGGAATTGTTATGGATTTTAAGAAACTGACCACCACATCAAACATTTAGTACTTTATTTCAAAGCATATCAAACCTAGGTAATGGTATTAGAATTTACATGAGCAAAATATTTACCAAAAATGAAAAAAACAGTCTGCCTCAAAGGCCAGTGGATGAAACATGCTGTCAGAGCTAGTTCAAACAGAGTTCACAGTAACAGCAGGCTCCTTCATGCTCCCTTTTCAATAGATTTGCTCCTCTCTGGCTCACAGTCAGCCTAAGGGTAATGGATGAGGTGCACAGCACCAACAAAAGCCTCATCTGCATCCATAGCATAAAATGCATTACAAAAGAAATGCAGGGCTTTTTGAACTACAACTCAATAGATTTATTTGGAACATACTTCCACTGTGGCCAGTACAAGGAAGCGGTTTGGTGTTCCTGCTCCTCATTTTATAAATCTTATTAGCAAAAAAAAATTCTTGTTTCTACTCAACACCAAAACTTATGTCTCACTTGAAAATTCCTATACCAATTTAAGCTATAAATATCCCACATCCTTCTCTGACTTTTATGAATGAAAATAATTTATGAATGAAAAGGTTCTATGAACAGGCTAAACTGAAAGTAATTTCCTAGTGTGCTTAATTTTAAAATAAAATTTAATTTTTTTATCCCTACCCCAAAAATAATTTGGGTCAATAATTATGACCAAGGATATGTGGGGAAGATGAAATACATTGCTTTTTACACCACCAGCTTTGTTTAGAATTAGAAACAAAGCTATTGCCTGATTATTTTGCAGGTATCTGACATCTGCACACTGAGGCTGTCGTTGTCTGACACCAATCATGTGACACTGTCTGAATTATTCTCTTCACAAAAGAAAACTCTGGGTTTCATGCTTTTCATAGGATGTAAAATAAGAGCTGGTCTCGCCTTGGTTTCTATTTAAAGTGTTCCCTCCATTTTTGTACAAAGTTAACAAGATCAAGACACCAAGAAGTTTGAGGAATCATCTCTATTAAAGATCTTTAAAAGGACACACGTTCTGATTGCACATATATAACCTATATCAAATTGCTTCCCATTTTAAGGAGGGGGAAAACCTTGGAACTCAAAAAAATTTTTAAATGAATGTTAAAAATTGTCTTAAAAAAAGACAGATGTTCAAGATAAAGTGTAGCCTTCTTTAGGAACAGGGGAATGAACTAGATGGCTTCTCAAGATTTTTTCCTATTTAAGATTTTAATTTTAGGTACCGGTATAATAGTCTCTTACATTAGAACCTATGTTATCATCTTTAAAATGTTAGCTGTCCTGGAAAGGTCAACTGGAATTTGTGCTCAAAGGATCATTTACACATAAGAGTCACCCACACGATCCTTTCCGCCTCACCCATACTGCAATGCCTTGCATAATGGAAAAAAATAATAAAAATGCATGAGAAGTTATTAACTTGAATGTTGGACCTGAAAGTCAGGAAATCTGGATTCAAATCCTGCCTCAAGAACATCCTTGCTGTATGACCATGGGAAGGTGGTCACTTATTCTCTCAAAGGTTCAGTTTCCTCATTTGTAAAATGGAAATAATATTGCCCTATCAACTTTGTAAGATAGTGAGGACACTGTTTTGTAAACCTTATACCACCACAAGTATGCAAGTATTTATTATTGTTGTTGTTATGCAAGTGCTCGATAAAATGTCTGCTTAAAGATATCTGTGAGATTTAATGACAAAAATTACTGTCAATGCATGAGTAGTTCAGGAAATAAAAACACGGAAGCTACACTTTAAATGTGGGAATCTTACAAGTAGACAACTTTTAAGTCTACAAATATAGATGGCATTCAAATGGAATGTTGAAGTGGGAAGTGGGAAGAAGGTTCTCATTCTCATCTTATTTATTTTATTGCTACACTTGGGACAGAAATAATATTTAACACTATACTCCATTCGGTTGTCTCTACAATGACAGGATACTGTTTTTCCCAAAAAGCACTGCAACATATTTGCATCAGTTGGTTACTACCAACTGATGCATTCATGAGAGATACTTCTACCTAGGCGTAACTATTACCACAGCAAAACAAGCATTATAATAATCATGTCAGCTGCATTTGGAATTCATTTATTTTGGATAGCACACAGTACTAAACTAGACTGTACTTTTTAATTAAATAAAGTAAAATGACTTAGCCCATGCTGTGTAATAGCATTTTAAACGATAAATATTATTTCTATATTTGTCATTTTATATCTCAGAAACAACAACAGACATGAAAACATCAGAAAAGCAGCAATGTTAATATAATAGCATCCTAAGAGCTACCATCTAAAAAAGCACTTTCAGCATTCAAAGAAATAAGAAAGATGGGGCTAGAAGCCATGAGTTTTCAATTGGTAATTTAATGTAAGATCTATGGCAAGTCATTTTAGTTATCCTACTTACTGATGTTCTTCCATCTGTAAAACAGTAGAACTGAACAGAAGTCTTGAATAGATTAATATTTACAAAATGTTCTGAAGATAAAAGAGCTCTGTGTAAGGGCTAAATGTAAGATGACAAGAAAAATTTGAAGAATTTAGGCACCTAATTACTAGGTTACACACTCCCTTAACACCTAATTTTTTGTTGCAATTTATACAGCATTCTAAAAACGGTCTTAATTTAAATGAGCAGGTATTACCATCCTAAATAAGATTCTTGAGTTTAAATAAAGTTGATTTTATAACTCCAAATAATAGTGAACTATAGGATAGTCCAAAAATTACAAGGGCATTAAAAGGATATTGTTTTTTTGTCTGGATTCACTAACACTTTAGTGATTTATTTAGTACAACTAAAAAAGCATATCACTTACCAGATGGAGACATGTATTCGGCATTTGCTCTACAAACCACTTTGATGGGGAGCTCGCACATTTGCAAAAAGGCCTGGAAACCAGCAGAAGCAGAGTAAACCAATGAGAATTGTCATTCATTAAGATTTCCTAAAACAAACTTCTGGAAGAGCAGTCACAGTTCAAACAAGTAGCACATTATAATATCTTTTTTATGGCAAGAAAATAAAATATGCATTGTTTTATTTTAAAAAAAACTACAATTTATGTGAGTATTGTCAAAACGATATGAAAAGATCCAGCTTAACACAACTCAGTTGTGAAACACCTATTTTCCAAATACGAGCAAAATGCCAGGTTACTATTAAAAATCAATATTGCTAGTCAGATTCCAAGAGATAAGATAAAGCATTTGCACATCCTTCAGGATGTAAATGTAAAACTGTACAAATCTATTTTTTTAATCAATTTTTGTCATTTTAATTGTTCGTGTTTAATTCTCTCTTCTTTAGCTCATTCTACTTCTCAAGTCTGAAAACCATGAAAAGCCATTGCTTTACTCCTTCTCCCCTTGAGTTGTGATTGATAACTCATTTTCTCTTGCTCCTCCACATCCACTCTTAATGATCTTCCCAAAATGCTGATGATTTCTGCTGCTTCAACTCCTCTAATTTAATCCTTTAAAATCTGGTTTCTTTACCTACTAGTTCACTCAAAAATGTTGAAGGTCAATAACATCTTCCTTACTGAGGCCAAGGTCCTTCTTTCATATCTTTTCACACCCCTCACTTATCTATCTGGCCTCCTTGTTCAGGGCAATTCTATTCAGTTCTCTTTCCTAATGTTTTTGTCTGTCCCTGGTACAATACATGACTTCCCTTCACTTATCAAATACAAAAGTCCCTCTTCTTTTCTTCCTTTAAAACACTTTTTTTGGTGAAGCTCATGCTTCCATATTTTCAATTGCTACCTAGAATTTAAAAACTAAACTCTCCAGGCTGAAGAAAAATAATAAAAATGTAAACTAAGGTAAAATAATACTCTAATTTATTGCTTCTTTTGGTCCCAACCTGTCACTTCATTGGTTTAGGACCCTCTCCATGAGGAATCTTCCTCTACTAATGCACATAAGTAACTGTTCTGAAATGCAAGGTCTTGGAGTTTCTTGAGCATTTTTAAAAGAAAGAAATCCAAGCTATTAACAAATATATGAAAAAAACTCTCCAAATTACCAATAATTAGAGAAATGCAAATTAAAGCAACTCTGAGGGTCTTACACGAAGCAGAGTGGCAAGGATAATTAAAAAAAAAAGAAAAGAAAAAGAAAAACAATAACTGTTGGGGGGGTTGAGGGAGAACAGGCACACTAATGCACTGTTTGTGTTACTATGCAATGATTTTGCTATTCTGGAAAGCAATCTGGGGCTATGCTCAAAAAGTCACTAAATGGGAACTATCCCAAGAAAATCAAAGAAAAGAAACAAGGTCCCAAACGTACAAAATTACTTAGAGAGCTGTTTTTGTAGGAATAAAGAACTGGAAACTATGCAGGTGTCCATACACTGGGAAATGGTTAAACAAATTACGGTCTACAAACATAATGGAGGTTTCAGAGAAACCTTGGAAGACTTGTATAAAGTGATGCATACTAAAGTGAATAGAGCTGAGAGAACAATTTACACAATATTATAAAGAAAAACAATTTTGAAAGGCTTGAGAATGCTGATCAATGCAATGACCCAACTACAGTTTTAAAGGACTGATGATGAAGCATGCTACCCATTTATTCACAGAGATTTTACAAAGTGATTTATATCTTCTTTTATCTTTACAATACCCTTGGGAAGTAGGTGTTATTATTATCCCCATTTTACAGATGAGGTAGCTGAGGCAGGCAGAAGTTAAGTGACCTGCCCAAAGTCAAGAATAGAAAGAAAAGGTCTGACAGGAAATGCTGGAGGAATGTCAAGGATCATTTCCTCTAATTCTTTTGGAGTATGCTACCATCACCTACCATATACCACAGGCTTGAATTCAAATAAATGTTTTAATTATTAAAGTCAGTTAACTTTAATAATGCCTCTTAACTCTCAATCAAATTAAAACTTTTGATCCTAGGCTTAAGGCCTCCTATCAGTGCTGGCCCTGATGTGCCTAATTATCTATGTCTTTGTGGAAGATGGTCTTTGTGAACACTATGCCTGAAAAATTCATCACCCCCCACAGATAACCTGGTGATGAGTCTCTCTGCACTTAAGGTTGATTCTTAGACAAAAACAGACGATTACTGTGTCCTACTCAAAGCTTTTCCAATTTGGTATGACCTATAAGAGTTTGTACTCTGTTGGCATAACCTTCAAGAATCCAGGATCACCTCCATACCACAATGAGGCATAAGAATAGGAGTTTAATGGAAGTATAAATATATGATAAAAATTGACATTAAAAATCAATAAGCAATTAACCCAAATTTATAAATGTAAGGTCTATTCCCCAATGGGTAAATGGTCAAAGAATATGAACAGTTTGTTCTGAAAGATGTAACACAAATAATCAGTAACCATCAAAACATTTTTTCAAATTCTCTTAAACAGAGAAATCCAGATTTTAAGAATTCTGACATGCCACAATACGTCCAATTGGCAAAGAAAATTTAATGCTATAAAATTCAGTGCTGGTAAGGCAGTGGAGAAAGAAGCATGATTGCACTGCTAGTAGAACTGTGAAACAGTACAAACTTTGTAATGTAATATGGCAGCATATAGCAAAAGTTACAAAAATGCTCATCATTACAAAAATTCTCTCATAAAGTGATTCCAATCCTGACTATACACTATTTTTTGAAAACAAAAAAATATGTGTCAGATTCAGAGTTGGAAGGGACCTCAGAAGTTATCCATTTCAATCCCTTCACTTTACAGTTTAGAAAACTGAGTCCCATTGAGGTTAAATGATTTGCCCAAGGTCACGAAGTTATTAAGTAACAGATCTGGAATTCAAACCCAAGTGCTCTGGGACTCGCAAATCCTGTCATCTTTCTCTCTTCAGCCACCAAAGTGATTTTCTTAAAGCTCAGGTCACTTCTCCTCCCCTCCCCTCACAGCCTTTCCCCACTCAATAAACTCCAGTGGTTCCCTATTATCTCCAGGATCAAATACAAAATTTTCTATTTGGCATTCAAAGCCCCTCATAACTTTGTCCCCCTTCTACCTTTCCAGTCTTCTTACACCTTACTCTCTTGCCACATACTTTTCGATCCAGTGACACTGGCTTCCTGGCTACTCCACAAGCAATATGCCATCTTTCAGCTCTGAGTATGTTCTTTGGCTGTCCCCCACACTTGGAATGCCCTCCCTCTTCATCTCTATCAACTGCCTCCCCTGACTTCCTTCAAGTCTCAACCAAAATCCCATCTTCTAAAGGAAAGTTTTCCTAACTCTTCTTAATTCAAGTGCCTTCTTTCTCTTAATTATTTCCTATTTATCTTGCATATAGTTTCTTTGTAAATACTTGTCTGCTTATAGTCTCCACCAGTAGATTGTGAGCTCCTTGAGGGCAGGAGCCGTCTTTTACCTCTTTTTGTATCCCCAGTGTTTAGTACAGTGCCTGGCATATAACAGGTACTTAAAAAATGTTTACTGACTAATGGACTAATTTTTTTCATAGTACCATGTGCCTGTACAAATATATCCATAGCCATTTTATCTATAATAGCAAAGAATTTAAAAGAAAACTCAACCCCCCCAAACTGGAAATAGCCCATATATCCAACAACTAAGCAATAGTTGAATAAATTGTGCTAAATTAATATAATGCTATTATTCTCATGTCATAAGAAATGTTAAATGTGAACATCCAAACATGCAAAGATTTGTTGTTTGTCCTTCATTCTGAAAGACCAATGACATAAAGCAGATTGAAAAGAGCAGAATCAGAATAATATATATAGTGACAATGACTAAAATAAATAACAGCAATAAATATTTATGCAGACAGAAAAGAACAGAAACATGAGATCAAATCAGTTTTTAAAAATTATCTGTTCAAGTTGATGAGACATTTTTTAAACTGAGCATAAATAATTCAGAATTTATAATTTTATATGCAATCCTTTTTATTTTTAACAAAATGTTGACAGTTACAAAGGTGATGGTTTTGTTTATGGTTACCAAGTTTAGTATAATTTTAAAAATATTCTTCAAAGGTCACTGTGATATTTCAGTTGCCCATTAGTTAATAAGTTCTATAGTTTGTAAAACTGTAAACCGAGTATCTCCTTGCTGATACTACTATGTATAGTGGCAGTGAACCAACAGATAATCAGAAATGCTATATTTCACAAGTAAATGCTGAACCTGATTACAAAATAAGTCTAGGACACTTAATCCCTAGTTTTCTTTCCTTTTTTAAAAAAGCAATTGTTGTTTAATTTTGTCCAATTAAAAAAGCCTGCAATTCTTCTTATAGGAGGACACCATAAACTGTATCATTTTAGTTAGGATGAGTTAAATTTATGCTGTGTTATGTCTTCCTCATCTTTTGATTCAGAAGAGCATTTCTGATTTATAGAATTCAAAAGACTAAACAAATTTATCAGCATTTTTTTTATAATAACGGCAGTATCACAAACATAGCTTTCTATGACCTTCTCAGAGTACAGGCATTTCTTGTTGTACTGAGCTTCATTTTATTGCGCTTCACAAATACTGCATTTTTTTTAAAAAACAAACTGAAGGTTTGTGGCAACCCTGATTTGAGCAAGTCTACTGGTGCCATTTTTTTTATTGGTGACATTTTTCTAACAGCATGTGCTCACATCACGTCTCTGTGTCACATTTTGGTAATTCTTACAATATTTTAAACTTTTTCATTATTAATATATCTGTTACGGTGACTTGTGATCAGTGATCTTTGATGTAACTATTGTAATTGTTTCAGAATTCAATCAACAAATATGTGTGTTCTAACTGCTCCACTGAGTGGCTGTTCCCTGTCTCTCTCCCTCTCCTTGGGCCTCCCTATTCCCTGAGACACAATATTGAAATTAGGCCAATTAATTATCCCGCAACGGCCTCTAAGAGTTGGAGTGAAAGG